GAAAGAGAGAAAAAAAGGAACTTTCTCTTGGTCGACAAAAATGGCGGGAAAAAAGGGAGAAAAAGACGGACAGAGAGATAGAAAAAAGAAAGAAAGAAAGAAAGAAAGAGAGAGAGAGAAGAGAGCGAAATGTTGAGAGAAAGAATACAAAATTTATACATATACACCAATTATTATACTGCCAGATATAAGAGAAACAAACAAACAAACAGACATAACAAACAAACATAACAAACAAACATAACAAACAAATCGAACGATCAACGCCATCTTCGTGCGATATGCGAAACGTGCGTGTTGTTCGCCTCGATCAATGTGCAATCCTACGAGAGATTTAATTAATTATTATTAATATTATTATTATTATTATTATTATTATTATTATTATTATTATTATTATTATTATTATTATTATTATTATTATTATTATTAATAATAATATTATTATTATTATTATCATTATTATGATTATTATTATTATTACGATTTACCGTTTGGTATTTGTCGAAAATGAAAAAATTACAAATTGAAATATACAAAACAGAGCGAGCAAATAACGTGCTCTTTTTCGCTATTAAAAAAATCGATCGATCCGACAATTGGATCCATCATTTTCTTTTTTACGACGAAAATCGTATGATATATTTTCGTCTTATTATTTATTTATACTTTTCTTTTTTTCTTCTTCTTCTTCCTCTTCTTCTTTTTTTTCTTTCTTTTCTCTTGTTTGTTTCTTAAGCTTCGTCGTGATCAAAATTATTTTCTTTTTTTACCTTCTCATCTCTCTCTCTCTCTCTCTCTCTCTTTTCTTCTTCTTTTTTCTTTTTATTTATTCTCTCTTTTTTTTTCTTCTCTTTTTTTTTTATAGTTAAATTATTTATCCCACAGAAACGTAGGTACACAATTGTTAATTCGGCGTTTATAAAAATCGTCGATTCAAGTTCGACCGATATTCGTTGTCCGTTCATTATCGTTCGATGAAGAAAGAGCGTTCTCTCGAACCCTCGTTTTCTTTTTTTTTTTTTTTTTTTTTTCTCTAGCCCTCGATAAGCGAGGAAAACAAAAAAAAAAAAACAAAAAAGAGACAGAGACTTTGGGATTGTCCGAGATTGATTTATTATCTTCTTCGAAAGTCGAATAATATATATATGTATGTAATATCGATATGGAAAGAGGAAGGAATCGATTTTTCCTCTCTTCAATCGCACACACAATCTTCTTAGGCAATTTAACTTTGTAAAAAAGAAAAATAAAAAAAAAAGAAAAAAAAAAGAAGGGAAAAGAGAAAAAACTAATGAGAAGGAATGAAAGAATGAAAGGATGAAAGAATGAAAGGAAAAGTGAGAGAGAGGAGAAATATGAAAAAAAAAAAAAAAAAAAAAAAAAAAAAAGAAAAAAGTAAAGAAAGACAGAACTAGAGAAAGTACGAAATGAAAGAAAAAAAAAAGAGAGAGAGAGAAGTGAAGGAGGAAATATTGATGTTAAAAAGAAATATATATATACATATATATATATATATATATAAATAAATGAATAAATAAATAAATAAATATATAAATAAATGAATGAATGAATGAATAAAGAATTAAAACGACGATTGATCTCTACGAAATTATTATTATCGACTCGTCATAAATACGTCGACGCGATTTTATATATATATATAATAACGTTAATTATAAATAAATAAATAAATAAATATATAAATTAACAAATGAATAAATGAAAAAAGGGAAAGAGAGGAAAAGAGAAAAAAAGAAATAAATCGAAGTATATTAAATTAATAATGTTTTAAATGTATAAATCAATCAACGCTCGTTGATTCGTCCTTGTAATCATTGTAACGATGATGACAAACAAATAAACAGACAGACAAACAAACAAATAAACAAACTAACAAACAAACAAACAACACAATACACGTCTTGGTTTCGACAAAAATTTACGCCTCTTTTCGTAAAATTGTTATTGTCGAAGATAATGCCAAATCAAATTTTATATATATATATGTATATATATATATATATATATATATATATATATATATATTGCGATATGCTACCAATTTAACAAAAATAAAGACAAAGGTTTAACGAAATAAAAAATAATAAAGAAACAAAGAAAGAAAGAAAGAAAGAAACAAGGAAGAAAGGAAGGAGGAAAAGGGATAGAGAAAATTCTTGCATCTCCTAGTTGTGATAAAATACATTAATACTCGTATCTCAGCGAGTTTATTACGACAATTAAACAAATTCTCCCCATTTAAAGGAAAAAAGAAAAAGAAAGAAAGAAAGAAAGAAAGAAAGAAAGAAAGAAAGAATGGAACTGAAAAAAAAATAAAACAAAATAAAATACAAATGTTTTTCATTGCTCGTTATCATTGTCATCGTCATCGTCCTCATCGTCGTCGTCGTCGTCGCCGTCGTCGTTGTCGTCGTCGTCGTCATCGTCGTCGTCGTCGTCGTGCCGTCGTCGTCATCGTAATCGTAATAGTAGTCGT